AGGCTGTGAGGAACCCTGGATGGGCACGGGGCACTAAGCCCAGGGCACGGAAGCAGAAGCCAGTGTAGACATCATCAAAGGGAAAAGGTACCACACGAGTTGCTGCCTGCAACAGCCAGGGCACCAGGCGTCCTGAGATGACATAGCCACCTCCACTTGCGTAGGCTGGGTAGTCACCTTCAAAGAAGGTCTTCGGCACATAGAAGGGTCCTCCAGGCTTGCGGAGCGGCTTGGCCTGGGTGAAGATCTCCCCCAGGTAGAGGCTGCGGGCCCAGGTGGGTGGCAGTGCCTGTAGGTGCTCCAGCAGGGCAGGGATATGCACAAAGGCATCATCCTGCACCTGCAGGACAAAATTCACGTCGGGGCAGTGGTGGCTCAGCCAGGTCAGCAGCAGCAGGTCTTTGAGTGTCCGGTTGTAGGGAACATCCAGGAAGTCCCAGAGCAGCAGGTCACCATAGTGCTGGCTCTCCCATGTTACCAGTGATCTTAGGTCAGGACCCCCCATTCCTAATGGGGACCCCAGCAGGAAGAGCAACCGGGTCCCAGCGACTGCACTGCCCCAGGTCTCTCTCACAGCCTGGCGTGCTGCAAAGTGTCCTGGTTCTGACTTGACAGCCAGGAGCAGGTAGGGGACATCCTTATTAGAGCAGCTGGCCACTGGGTTGCCTCCCCCTGCAGGCAGCCATAGTGGGAAGCTCCTACAGGCTGCTGATAGCAAGAAGCGCTGAAGGTCCTGGGGGTACATAAAGAAGTCCAAGATCTCCGAGGCAGCAACAGTCCCCCAAGTCTGGCAGTCTGTACTGGGCAGGACTCTCAGATGCCGCTGCTGCTGGTTCCAGTAAGCCAAGGACAGTGGGCCAGTCTGACCCAGGCGAGCTGAGAGGTTGATGGGCAGAGTGGGCTCAGCGCTGGGTGGTGTGGGACTGAGCAGGGTGCCCCGGGGTTCAGCCTTGTTAAGCCAGGACTCAGATGTCCACTCGATGTATACTTTGAGGCCCAGGAGTGTGAGCAGTGCTGACAGGCAGAGCTGGCACTTGCGGCAACGCATGACCCGGCCCAGGGAAAAGGCCACCAGTGGGGCTGCAAGAATCACAAAGAGCCACAGAGGTCTTTAGGGTGCAGGGTGGCCCTCCAAAGAGGGCCCAGCGGAACCCACACAAGCATCCTGGGGTTTACCCAGTCCTGGCCAACTGGTAATGGCTTCTGAGACCCTGACCCTAGACAGCCTGGCCTGCAGTACCGAACTGTCACGTTATCCTAGACTGAGCCCCCATCCGCATCCTATTCTTGCCCTTTCCTGGAGTCAAGGTGTTGATCTATATGTAGTATCGCTTCAACGCCATTCCTACCCCTTTCCCTCCACTCTTCTGTCTCCCCGTAAGTCCCAGCGCCCCGGGGAAACCCCTTTTACCTGCTTGGAAACCTACCTACCTCCTCCAGTAACCCCAACCAAGGGCCCGGGGCCCCGGGTACCTCTGGGTTCGGCTTCCGCCAGTTCTAGGGGTGTCCTCTGGTCAAGCCTTGCCCGGACTCCCTGCTCGCAGCTGTGCGTCCTCAGGCTGCCGGCCCAGCCCGCGCTGGAGTCTGGAGGGGCGGACGGGAGGGGTGGAGGCGGGAGGGCCCCAGGGGCTGGGAGGAGTCGGGGCGGGGCCGGGAAGGGCAGACGGGGAGACGCGCGCCTTGGCGAGTTAGGGCTGGCTTTCTGGTGAGACCTCGGGAAAGGTGCAGGTATGGCCAGTGCTGCGGACCCGGACTCTGCCATGGCCTAGGGGAGAATTCCAGGGAAGGGGAGGTCCAGGCCAGGTGGCAAGAGTGATCCAGGGGCAGTCTGGGTCCCAAAGAGGGAAAAGAAGAGAGGCCAAGGGGTTGGTTCGAGGCCACCGCCAGGAGGCGTCGTGACTGCTGCGTGCGGGGCTGGGGGAGGGGATGTTTGCAGGGGCCGCGAGGGGGTGGAGGGACGTCGAGTAGAGAAACCCTGAGAGTCCTTGGCAGGCAACTAGCAGAGCAGAGAAAGGGTAAGGCAGGAGAGAGAAAGACTCACAGGTGGCAGGGGTCAGAACAGAGCCTAACCAACCAGAGAAGAGTCGGAGGAGCCCAGGAGGACCCAGAGAAGAAAGGACGGACTAGGGAGAGGGGGTAAGCAAGGAGAGCAATAAAAGGTGGTAAAGTGAGGTGCACTGAGAGCCCCCAGCTAGAGGTGCGCACCTCCTCCAACTTGTGCATGAGCCACTACTGGCCTACCACCTCCATCCCAGACGGGAGGCGCCCCGCCCTATGATGCTGTGGGCTGTACGCCCCACCCCTGGGGCAGGAAGGTTTCTGACTGTGTTTACATCCCTGCGCTAGGGCCTCTGCTGTTGAAGCTGTGCCAGCAGTCTGGGGAGGCCAGCAGGTGGGGCCTTCCCAGATCTCCGGGGACGTACAGTGGGATGAAGCCTGCTCCCCAACCCCAAGCCCGGGCTGACCCCTTGCAGCCTACCTGGTTTGGAGGACTGTACAGATATAACAGGAACCCAGTGTACCAGCGCCACAGTCTGTTATCTCTCCAGCCCTGATTTCCTCCCTCCAAGTTTGAATAATGGAGCCCATGGGAACAGATGGAGGAAGACAGTGGGGAGGAAATGGTGAATGCTAATGGAATAAGTAAGAGCGAGAGTGGGGAAGATCGCCAAGAGCCAGGCAGGGCCAAGCCCATCCAGCCCAGGGCCGTGGGGGAGGCCTGTTAAGGCCTCAGCTGTCCTGGCTCATCTCCCTCCAGGGCACTGAGGCTCTGTGACTGTGGCATCCTCCTCCCTGGGCCTTATAGTCTCCAGGGAAGAACGCAGTGCTGGTTGCCGAGTGCAGCCTGGGTCCAACCAGGAGGAGCCACCCAGCTGTTGGAACCAGGAGGGCTCAGACAGAAAGCCGCGATTAACAAGAACATGGGACTGAGTAACGAAGGGGCAGTGGCTGACTACTTTTGAGGACCATAGTTCGGGGTGTTTTCATTATCTGCTCCCATGTCAAGACAGGCAGTTTCTAATTTCTCAGCTTTATTAACTGTAGGGTACTGTTGGGTCCATGTTCCAGTCAGCCAGCCAACTAGCCAGACCATCTCTGTGGCACAGGATAACTCATTAGCTCTGAAAAGCATACCTGTTCAGCAGATTTGGCCCAAATATCCTTGCTATATACTTTACACACTTCCAGGTTTCTACTTATACAAATTTCAAATTATCTTTTTCTTTTTTCTTTTCTTTTCTTTTTTTTTTTTCAGATCTGAGACCCAAACCCAGGCCCTTGCGCTTGCTATATAAGCACTCTACCACTGAGCTAAATCCCCAACCCCTTTTTCTTTCTTATATGGGTGTCTTGCCTGCATAATATGTCTGTGCATCAGTTGCATGCTTGATGCCTGTGGAGACCAGAAGAGGGCATCAGATCCCCTTGAACTGGGGTTACAGACAGTTGTGAACTGCCCTGTGGGTGCTAGGAGTCAAACCTGGGTCATCTGCAAGAGCAGTCAGTGTTCTTAACTACACAGCCCTTACTTGGCTTCTTTCTTTCTGTCTTGTTTTGTATTCCTTTTAATCCTCTGGCTTCAGCTTCCCTAGTGCAGGGATATTGGTTTTGGGGAAATACTGAGTGTTGAACCTAGGGCCTTGTGTATGCTGCCACTGAGCGATGTTACCCCAGCTGGTGTCTTGTTCTTATCAGTAGGCACCTAGTAGGCCCCCCTCCCTCTGAAGCAAGTGGATTTGATCCTAGGGTTTATGGCTTTGTTAGCAGTAGAGGACTCTCTTGAGTCTCTTTAATTATTTTTGAGATTTTGGGTCTCACACTGTAGCTCTGGCTGGCCTGGAACTTGTTATGTAGACATGTCTGATTTGCCCGTCTTCTGCCTCCTGAATGCTTTCTGAAGTCTTATGAATAATGGACACATGGGGCTGGAGGGATGGCTCAGCAGTTAAGAGCAACTGTTGCTCTTGCAGAGGACCCAGGCTCAATTCCCAGCACCCACACCGGAGTTCACAACTACCTGTAATTCCAACTCGAGAATCCAGTGCCCTCTTCTGGCTACTATGGGCACTGCACACACGTGCGCTTACTTCCATGCACATAAAAGTAAGTAAATAATGCTGGGGGTACCTTTCTGTATGCTGTGAATGTGTTGCTCTGATTGGTTAATAAAGAAAGTGCTGATTGGCCAGTAGCCAGGCAGGAAGTATAGGCGGGACAAAGGGAGAGAAGAATTCTGGGAAGTGGAAGGCTGAGTCAGGATGTTGCCAGCCCCGCCATGAGAAGCAAGGTGTAAAGTACCGGTAAGCCACAAGCCACGTGGCAACTTATAGATTAACAGAAATGGGTTAATTTAAGATATAAGAACTAGATAGCAAGAAGCCTGAGCCATTAGACCAAACAGTTTAAATAATATAAGTGTCTGTGTGTTTATGTGGGTCTGAGTGGCTGCAGGCCTCGTGGGACTGGAGATAACTCCAGCTACAAAATAAATCTTTAAAGAATAGTGGACACTCCTTTCAAAGCCAGGGACCAGATGAGGTCATCACCGGATGGTTCTGCTGGCTCCTTGGTATTGGCAAAAGAGCCTTGAAGTGGCCAGGCACAGGGGTCAAGTCCTGATGACTCTTGAGTCCAACCCTATTCTAAGAACGAACTTCTGGGGCTAACACGGAGTTCATAAGTTCTCAGACTGGCTACACACACACTGTGTTCCCAAAAATCGCAGCATCCAAACCATCCTTGTGGCCACAGCTGTCAGCACAGCAGCCACTGGCACATGCTACAGTTGGCAGCTTGTTGGCATCCACTCACAGTTCATCTGGGATGCCCTGCATGCCAGGATCTTTGGCATCTCTCTCTTTTTTTTTTCTTCCTAGCAAGGAGCTTACTGCTATGCTCATGTTCAAAGTCCCAGCCCTCCCAAATCCATTTTGAATCTTCACCTCCAGAACTATGCATCCAGTGCCATCTGGATCCAGTTAGGAGGAAATGCCACAGGGTAATGTGAACAGGGAAAGTTTAATATAAAGAATCATACACTTGTATGGTGTGTTAGAGTCATGACAGTCACTGGTAACATGGACACCAGGAGTCATTCACAGACAACAGGGGTGCCAACCACCCAGCAATCTGGGAGCTGGAGAACCACTTTAAGCTCCATGCAGTCCTGGCCATCCCTCTGGGTTATCTCCAGCGTCCTCTACTGACGAAGTCTGTTGTGCCAGCTGAAGAAAACATTTTCCCAGCCGCTCAGCTCACATTTTCACAGAGCAGGGAAACCACATTTGACAAGTCAGTAAATCAATGGGTGATGCCATGGGGCTTGGGGTGCTGCTGGCCTTTAATGAGTGTGGGCCAAGGATGCTGGCCACCTGTGGTGCTGACCAACCCTGCACAAGGAGGGACCAACCACTGTAAAGGGCCAGCAGTGTCTCATGTCAGCCACAGTTGCTGGGGACATGCATGTGGACAGTTTGGGGGAATGCTCTTGACAAACAGGGATAATGAGAAACCGTGGAGCTGCGAGCAGCTGTGCATGGAGGGCTGTCTGCCATGGTGACAGCTGTTTGCCAGCTGCAGGCAAACACCAGTCAAAACCCTGACTCAGCCTTCTTATTTGCCAATGCTCCTGTTGAATGAACCCCACTGGAAGCCAGAGTGAGAAGACATCACACTCCACAGAGCCTCACAAGATCCTGCAAGAGTGGGGCTACAGGCTAGGGAGAGACTGGGCTAGATGTGTCCTGAGGCTGCTGGTCTGGCTCCAGCTTCAGGCCCTGGGCCCAGTCAGCACCAAGGACCTCACAATGGGGCAACATCTCTTCTACCAGGATCTGAATGAGGCCTGGGTGGGACACAGCAGGGAGGGCTGAGATGTCCAGCCTTTGGAGGTTCCTGAAGAGGTGAGAAGGACAGATGTGAGACTGGTATGTGTGTGTGTATGTAGAGGGTGGGTTCTGACCCCAATTTCTTTTCTTTTCTTTTTTTTGGTTTTTTGAGACAGGGTTTCTCTGTGTAGCTTTGCGCCTTTCCTGGATCTCGCTCTGTAGACCAGGCTGGCCTCGAACTCACAAAGATCACCTATCTCTGCCTCCCGAGTGCTGGGATTAAAGGCGTGCGCCACCACCACCCGGCTTGAACTGACCCCAATTTCAACAGATAGTTTCTCTTTTTATTCTGTGTGTGTGTGTGTGTGTGTGTGTGTGTGTGTGTGTGTGTGTGCGCGTGTGTGCACATGCTAAGGATAGAACCCAGGGCTTCACACATTCTATTGCTGACCCACACCCCTAATCCCTTACTGGTACAATCTAAGCAAACACTAGCTCTGCCATATTCCCAGCCCCTCAATTGAGGAAGTCTAGGCAGGGGCTCTACCACTGAGCCACATCCCCAGCCCCTCACTGGGGGATTCTAGGCAGGGGCTCTATCACTGAGCCACACCCCCAGCCCCTCACTGGGGGATTCTAGGCAGGGGCTCTACCACTGAGCCACACCCCCAGCCCCTCACTGGGGGATTCTAGGCAGGGGCTCTACCACTGAGCCACGCCCCCAGCCCCTCACTGGGGGATTCTAGGCAGGGGCTCTACCACTGAGCCACACCCCCAGCCCCTCACTGGGGGATTCTAAGCAGGTGCTCTACCGATGAACCACACCCCCAGCCCTCCAGTAAAACTTTATAGCTATCTAAATATATGAAATTTATTGCTGACTTTAAATATTTCTCTGGCTTCTATTCTCCTGCAATAGTGTGACTACCACTGAGTTTCCATCTATACATAAAGGAAGCAAGCCCAGGAGTCACTTCTTTCTTCTAAAGACACAGAATGCTCAGCTGTGCTCACCTACCACAGGTACTAGATGGTGACAGGGAGGCAGATGGCTAGTAGCACCTAGGACCCCCTCCTAGCCCTGCTGGCACAGGGCCAGCCTGAGCAGAGATCTTACTGGAGGTGGTGGAGGCAGGCAAGGCCCCGTTCTGAGACTTGGGGGCATCCGGCCAGTGAGAGCTCCTGCAGGGAGTCAGCCAGTAGGTAGAGGCGGCTGAGGCACCAGTCATCCACGTTGGGGCAGCGCTGCAGTGACAGAGACCGCAGCTCCTTCAGGGGCACTGCTGGATGAGAGGCGGGTGGCACCGGGGGCTTTCTGGAGCCCAACACCGAAGGGAAACCCACCCACTCTGGCCTACTTACAAAGGTGACTCATGCCCTGGTAGTTGAGGGCACAGCCACTGGCATCCACAGCCTCCACAGGTACCTCCTGGAACTTCAGGAACTCCGCAGGAAAATGGCCACGGTCATCTGGCCGGATCCACTCCTTGCCCTGAAACCTAGAATAAAGAGTGGGGTGAGTGGCACTGCCTGGCTTCCTACGTGTGGTCACCCTGGCAGCGGGAGCAGGTCGGCACCCTTATCATCCCTTCACACAGGACACTAGGAGCCCCAGATACTGCTCAACATCAGAGCCAAGAACTGAGGTGGGCACGGCTGCATGTCTGGAAGCCCTGCATTTGAGAGGCTGAGACAGGAGCATTGGGAGTTCAGAGCCAGCCTGGGCCGCAGACTGAGACCCTGCCAAACCCCCTCACGTGCACGCGCGTGCCTTCATCCTCTCTCTCTCTCTCACACACACACACACGCACACACGCACACGCACACACACACACACACACACACGCACAGCTCCATTCACGGGTCCTTGCTGACAGCCGTTTTCAGACATACATCTGATCCTAAGGAGTTGGCAGACGTGCTCAAACAAGGGAGGAGTAGATAAAGCCTATAGAAACTGCGTATTTTCCCAGAAAGAAGAAAACAAAACAAAATATCCAGGGATCTGATGAGATGGCTTAGTGGATAAAGCTGCCTGCTGTCAAGGGCAACAGCCAGTTAGTTCCTCAGGCCCCATGCTGGAAGAGGACTGACTCTGTCAAGTTGTCCTCTGACCGCCACACACACACACAGTGGCAAAAGCACACCCCATATACTAAATGTTAAAAAATATGTATTTTAAAAAGAGAGAAAGGATAAAGAAAGAGTTTTGTTTTGTTTGTTTTTTTGGGCAGGGTCTTGGGTCTCTGGCCTACAATTTCTAACTCTTCTGCTTCAGCCTCCAATGCTGGGATATAAAGCCTGTGCCACCATGCCTGGCTAGGAGATACTCGATCCACCCTCCTCTGTCTCCCCAGAGCTGGGGTTAGAGGAGTTTGACACAATACCAAGCAGAAAAACACTTGAGGCAGGGTTTTGCTGTGTAGCCCAGGCTGACTCTGAACTCATCAAGAGTAGTTGGGATCAAGGCTTTGCACATCACCCAGCTAGCTGCCTGGTGTGACTGAGCACTGAGATGTTATGCCTCACGACAGCCGTTTAGAATGAAATCCCAGTCTTCAAAGCAAACCCTGTATTAGCAATACCACACATCATTCATTCATTGATGCTGTGTGTTTGAGACAGGGTCACACTATGTAGCTCTGGCTGGCCTGGGACTTACTCATTCTGTAGACCAGGCTGGCCTCAAACTCTCTCTGCCTCTGCCTCCCAAGTGCTGGGATTAAAGCTGTGTGCCACCATGCCCAGCTGTATATAATTTTTAATTTTTGTTTTGTTTTGTTTTTCAAGACAGGGTTTCTCTGTGTAGTTTTGCACCTTTCCTGGAACTCACTTTGTAGACCAGGATGGCCTCGAACTCACAGAGATCCACCTGCCTCTGCCTCCCGAGTGCTGGGATTAAAGGCGTGCGCCACCACCGCCCGGCTTCTTAATTATTTTTTTAAGAGAGAGTCTTAAGATATAGCCATGGTTGGCCTAGAACTCAGAGAGAGCCACCTGCCTCTGCCCTCACATGCTGGGATTAAAGGCTGGCTGTTAATTTAAAATTTATTTGTGTGTATGTATTTGTATGTCTTTGTGCATGCGTACAAGTGTGCATGCATATAAGCTGGTGGTTGATGTTGGGCGTCACCATCAGTTGCTTTTCCACCATACGTTTTGAGATAGAATCGCTCACCCAGAGCTTGCCAGTCAGGCTAGGCTGCCAGGCTAGCCAGAGAGCCTCAGGGATCGACCTGTCTTATACCCTCAGCACTGGGATTAAGGTGTACCCCACCATGCCTGACTTTTATAGGGGTGCTGGACTCATGCCCTCATGTAAACATAACAAGCACTTTCCCAACGGAGCCTTCTCCTCAGCTCTGCATACCACCTCATTTTATAAATGACAAACTGAAGTCCACGAACAAGTCCCCCTAACACACGGTCACTGGACAGCAAAGATGCTCCACCCTCCCACACCCTGTCATGATAGCTGTCATACTTCACTGCGCCTCCCTGCTTCAGGATGAAGAGGGCACCTGTGACATATGGGCCATATTTCTCCTGGATGTGAGTGAAGGATCTGCGGAGAAAATGAGAGCAAAGGTGAAGCCTGGAGCCTCTCACTGTGTGCCAGTTCTGTGAGGGGCAGATTACAGGGCAGCAGGATTACAGGCTATCGACTAGGCTCGCTGCAAACCTGAGCGCCTATTCAGTGCTGTGTCCTGGGATCACAATGGACAGAGCATACAACTAACTGTCTTGGCCTCTGTTAAACCACCTGGTAGAGGGAGAGAGATAACAAAGCAAGAAGTAACTGCAAATCGCAGAGTACCAGTTCTGAAATGAAGATCAATCAGGGGCAGCCTGACAGTGGAGACTCATGTAGGGCAGATGTTAAAGACCACTTCTCGGCCACGTGTGGCATACACAGGAGATAGAAGCAGGAGGAGCAGGGCTCAAGGCCAGCCAGGCTGAGCTATGAGAGACTCCCTCAATAACAAAACAAAACAAAAAATGAGGCTGGAGATGGCTCAGGTCAGTTGAGGGCACTTGCTGCTTTTGCAGAGTATTCAGCTGGATTCCCAGCACCCCCACATCCAGTGGCTCACAACCACCTGGAACTCCAGCTCTAGGGAATGAATGTGATAACTGTGGTGGTTGAATAAGAATGGCCCCCATAGGCACATATGTCTGAATGCTTGGTCCCCAGTTGGTGGAACTGTTTGGAAAGGGTTAGGAGGTGTGGCCTTCTTGGAAGAAGTGTGTCATTGGGGGTGGGCTTTGAGATTTCATAATCTCATGCCAGGCCCAGTCTCATGCTCTCTCTCGAGGCTTGCAACTTATGGATCTCAGCTACTGTGCCAGTGTCATGCCAGCCTGCTGCCATGCTCCCATCATGATGGTCATGGACTAACCCTCTGAAATTGTAAGCAATCCCCCATTTAAATGCTTTCTTTTAAAAGCTGCTTTGGCCATGGTATCTTCTCACAGCAACTGAACAGTGACCAAGACACTAATCTTAAAATGAAAGGTATCACGGCAGGCCACACACAGTGAAGTGGTGGGAACTGACACTGAGAATCCTCTAGCAACTGATAAGACTAGATGTGAAGGCAGAGAGAAGACAGAGAAGATGCCTTCAAATTCACCCTTAGCAACCGGATGGCCAATGGCATTCTTTAGATGGCGATGGCTTGAGAGTAAGATTTCTTTTAAAAGGGAGATGTGAGGGATTTGTGTTTTAGTCACATATGTCTGAGAAGCCAGCTTAACTCCTAAGCAGGGCTGGTGGTGGAGAGCCTATACAAGTAGAGTCTCAGAGAAGTGGTGGGCAGAGATGAAGATGTGAGTTGGTAATGCTAGCAGTTGGGGCTCTGGTTGGGAGGTCTGGCCAGCAGGTCTCCCTGGGGTCTTGCCAGCCACAGGTTCTCACCGATTCTTCCGGTTCACTTTTGAGACCTGCTTCTGGAGCAGATACTCTCTCAGAGCCTGGATGTCATAGAAGTGGTCTGAGAGGAACTGTAATAGCGTTCGTCTCTTCTGATTGCTGTCTGGGGTCACCGACTCACTCTTGCTATGGATGCCCTTGGCTCTCCCATTCCATTCTCGGGCACCCAGGCGCAGGAACTGGAGAAGGGGAGAGGGAAAGGACTAGGGGTGAGCCTGGAGGTTGATTCCACCCCCAAGTCTTACAACATGACCTTTAATCTCACCCCTGTGCTTCCTGAGTCTTCTGAAATCCTCCTGGCAAAATCCCCCAATTTTGGGGTGTAGCTCAGGGCTAGAGTCCCTATTTAATATGCACAAGGCACTGTGGTCAATCCCCAGCATGTCCACTTCCTCAATTCTTACCTTTGGGATTCCAAACATTTCTCCAAATTCTTCCATTTAACCCACCATAAATTCTTTCCTTAGTGCGACCAGTCTTAGTTTTCTCAAGATCTTCTAATTTCCCCTCAAATCCTTACCCCCCCTCCCACTCCATTATACCTTAATTTCTCATCCATTCACTTTTTGGGGTAGGGGGAGGACATATGTATGCAATATGCATTCATGTGCATGTCTATTCGAATGTGTGGATGTCCATGCACTAATGTGCCTGTGTAGGGAGGCCAGAGTGGAAGCCAGGTTCTTCCTCTGTTGCCCTTCTCTCTCTCTCTCTAAATGTATGTATGTAGAGGAATCAACTTTCTCCACCTCCAGAGTGCTGGGATGACAAGTGGTCTGCCATGCACGGCTCTTACTAACTCTGGTGCTCATGCATCAAGGGCATGTCCTTTAACAATGAACCATTTCCCCAGCCCAAGTTCCAACCAGCTCTCCCCCTAGGGTCTTGCTGAATGACTAATTTCTTTGCTGCCCCTCCATCTCGTCCATGTAACCTTCACTTTTAGAGGTAGTGCTGGGGATGGAACCCAAAACAATGAGTATCAACAAAGCACTCTACCACTAACTAAATTCTCCAATTTAACGACTATTGGAAGTTCTATGAATTTCCCTCAGGTTCTTCCTCGGAACTCCATATTCACTACCTGGTTCCTTCCTGCACACCGTGTCCTTCCACTTTCTATTAAGGTTTACTTATTTATTTACCGACAGGATTTTATGTTGCCCTGCCTGGCCTCCAACTCGATACATAAAAGGATTAACTCCTGATGAGGCCCTTGACTCCGCAATCCCAAATGCTGGTACTACGAGATCCTTAAATTCTCTAGGAATTTCGCGCAAAAGTATCCTTAACTCTGCACTCTCCCAAATCCCATTCCAGGTCCGATTCTAGCCGCTTTCCCAGGATGAGCCGTCCTATTCCTCCAATTGGCTAGTCCGCTCTCATCCTTTGGTTTCTCTACCAAGCCTCCGCCCAGCGCGGCCCGAAACCCTCTAGGGTCCCCGACAACCCCATCGGTGTCCCCAGGGCGAGGCCCGGCAGGAGACGCTCTGTTCCCGCAGGCTGACCGAGGGTTCGAGGACGGAACTGCAAAGTGAACTATAGTTCAAGGGCTCCAGGCCCCGCGGTCACCTACCGCCCTGGACGCCGCCATCTTGCTGGACAACGTAAGCAGAAGAGGCGGGACTTTTCTGCTTGACACCTGGTTCAGACACAAACTACTTTTCTTGTGGCCACGCCCCTCCATTTTTTTTTTTTTAGCCCGCCTTTTAAAGGCGCATACACTTTTTAATCTTGTTAGGGTATTCAGAGCACCCTTTCTTTAAAACGGAGTCTTTACACCCTCTAAAGAGGGAGGAGGCGGTCTTTCCTCTTAGGGAGCTTCTTTTCCTGACTGTGGTCACAATTCTCTTGATTGTTTGTCCTCCCCTTTTGTGCCTTTGCCCTCTTGGCTGCTGCACCTGGTTCCCCTTTCTCTCCGCTCCCTTCCCCTCCCCCTCTTTCTACTTGGCCCACCTCAGTCTGGTCCTGTCTCTGCCTCTGGCTGTGCTCTCCCACATATCTACAATAAACTTTCTCCTTTACCATACCTAGGAGCTGTCATGTCCTTTCCTTTCCTTTTTATTCCTTTTTTTATTCAATTATTATTTTAATATTTATTATTGTGTGTGTATGCACACTCACATCTCATGGTGCACCTGTAGAGATGAACAGAACATGGGTCCAGGAAGCGAATTTAGGTCTCCTAGCTTGCACAACAAGCGCCTTAACCCACGGAGCTATCTCGCTGGCCCTATTATAATTGGATTTTTAAACTTTATTTGATATGTGTGTCAGTGTTTGCCTGCATGCATGTCTACACCACGTGTGTGCAATACCTTGAAGAGCGGAAGAGGACATTGGATCCCTGGAATTGGAGTTGCCAGTCACCATGTGTGTGCTGGGAATTGAATCCAGGTCTTCTGGAAGAGCAGTCAGTGCTCCTAATTGCCAGGAAGCTTTCAACCCAGCTGCTGTAACTTGTTTTTTTTTTTTTTTTTTTTTTTCCCTAAGGGCAATGGAAAGGTAAGGTGGGCAGCCAGGTTAGAATTCAGTGTAAGAGACTGACTTAAGTTTGGAATTCACATCTAGATATCTCTCTCTCTCTTTCTCTAGCCTTACCTTGGAACTTGCTCTGTGGCTGAGGCTGGCCTTGAACTCATAGAGATCTGCCTGCCTCTGTCTTCTGAGTGCTGGGATTAAAGGCGTGTGCTACCACTGCCTGGCTAAAAGGGTTATTTCTTACACAGGATCTTTCTCATGCATGTTAGGCTGCCTTGAACTTTACTTTTTTAATTAAAATTTTATATTGATGTGTTTATGAGTGTGGGCATGTGTGTGCTGTGGCCAGACATTTATGAAGTAATGGGAACAAACCTAGGACCTTCTGAATGCTAGGCAAGCTCTTTATCAACTGAGCCACTTGCCCAGCCTCCAAATGTGAAGTCTTGGTGGATACAGTCATTCATTCATTCACTCATTCATTCATAAGTGTTTACTGAGCTCTCACAGTGAGTACTGAGAGCCCCTTTCCCAGGGAGTTGTCATTCTAGGCAGAAAGAGGATGGATAAAAAAATGAATAAAAAACTAAAGATAGTGTTTGATAAGAAGTAGAAAAAAAAGCCAGGCGGTGGTGGTACATGCCTTTCATCCCAGCACTTGGGAGGCAGAGGCAGACGGATCTCTGTGAGTTCGAGGCCAGCTTGGTCTACAGAGCGAGTTCCAGGACAGGCTCCAAAGCTACACAGAGAAACCCTGTCTCCAAAAAGAAAACAAAACAAAACAACAACAACAAAAAGAAGTAGAAAAAAAATAGGTGGTATGTTAGGGAGTGCCTGGGGCACAGAGCCGCCAGAAAAGGCCTCTGCAGCAGGTGCATTGAACTGGAACGAGTGACAGGAAAGAAAAGGTACCTCAAGGTGTGGAGTAAAAGTGTTCAGGCAGAGGTAACAGCCAGTGACAAAGCCCTGCAGTGTGCATCAGCTTGCAGAGAGGTAGAAGACAGGACCAGAGACGTGGGCAGCGGGACTGACTGTGTAGGTCCAGCAGGGTTTTATTCTGTTCACAGAGGGAGAGAGGAGTTTCAAAGTCTGATTTACGTATTGCAAAGATCTGGAGAATGACTCTTAGAGGTCAGGGGTGGACATGAAATCGGCAAAGAGGCTGCCACAATAGTACAGGCACATGATTAATAGGAATAGGGGTGGGGTGGGCAGTAGTGAAAATTGTTGGAGACAAAAGCCCAAGAAGCCAAAAGGTGTCACTAATGGAAGTGGAGAAGCAGGGAGCAGGGGGGTTGCCGGGGTGGGGACTTGGTAGACTGAATAGTTCCCAACCACAAATGTCCTTGTCCTGCGATCCTCAGAGGCTGGATGTATCAGTTACTTTTCCATTGCTGTGATAAAAACACGATGACTCAAAGCAACTTACAGAAGGAACATTATTTGGGCTGGCAGGTCCAGAGGGCTGACTCTATCCTAGTGGGGAGGTATGGGAGCATGTGGCAGGCCTGGCGTCAGGAGCAGGAAGCTGAGAGCTCACATCTTCAGCTGAAGTACAGAGGAGAGAAAGCACACTGGAAATGGTGAGGTTTTAAACTCTCAAAGCCCGCCTCCGATGAGGCACTTCCTTGAGCAAGGTGGTTCCTCCCTAAGCTCCCCAAACCACCACGGAACACTCAGCTGTCTGAGTCTGTGGGGGACATTTCCCTTCAAACCACCACACTCTAACTATGTTACTTTATATGGTAAAAGACATCCCCTCCCACCTCTGATTGCCTGATCCCCTTTCTTAGCAATGTATTTATTGCTTTGGTGCCCAGGTTGGCCTGAAACTTGTAATCCTCCTGCCTCAGCCTCTCGAGGGCTGGGATCATAGATATGTACCTTAAGGTTCAGTTTAAGGAACTTTTTCTGGGGGTGGGGTGGGGTTCAAGACAGGGTTTCACTGCATAGCCCTGACTGTCCTGGAACTCTCTCTGTAGACCAGAGTGGCCTTGAACTCAGAGATCCTCCTGCCTCTGCCTCCGTGCTGAGATTAAAGGCATGTGCCACCACTGCCCAGTTTAAGGATCTTGAGAGGATGTTCTTTATCATAGATGACTGGGTGGCACTGGTGAATATGAAGGTCTTATCAGAAGGATGGCCATTGCCATCAACAGGAGTCAGGATGCCGGAAGCCAAAGATTGGAGTGATGCAAGGAGAGCAAGTAGGCCTAGAAGCTCGGAGAGTAGAGTGTGGATTCTCTCCTAAAAGCAACCAAGCCCAGTGTGCCTACTTTATGCTTTAGAGCGGCAAGAGAATAACCTTGTGGGCTTTCCCCCCTTTCAGTGCTAGGGGTTGAAGTGTGTGTGTGTGTGCGCGCGCGCGCGCGACTGCTTGTCCTTGTGTGTGTGTGCTTATGTGCCTGCTTGTGCTTGTGTGTGCTTGTATGTGTGCTTGTATATGTGTGCGTGTGCGTGTGCGTGTGCGTGTGCGTGTGCGTGTGTGTGTGTGTGTGTGTGTGTGTGTGTGTGTGTGTGTGTGTGTATGCATATATGCTCCTGTGTTGGTTCTGGTGGTGGAACCAAGGGCTTCTTACATGCCAGGCAGGCATGGACCCTGGAACTGCGTTCCTAGCCTGAGCCTAGAGCCTTGCCTGTCCTAGTTAGGCACACACTCTGTCACTGAACTACACCTCCAGTCTCTTGTGGGCTTTGGTTTGGTTTGGTTTCTGAGGCAGGGTCTCATGGAGCACAGGCTAGTGGCTACGAATGATATTGAATTTGCAACTCTCCTGTTTCCATTTCCCAAGTATTGGGGTTACAGGTATATACCACCATACCCAGTCAGTTTGATGTGATGTTGGACACTGAACCCTGGGCTTCTTGCATGCTAGGCTAGCCCTCCACCAACTGAGGCACATCCCCAGACCCTTTCCTCCCTACCTTTGGGTTTTGAGATAAGATTTCATTATATTTCCTTGGAACTCAATATATAGATCCTATTGGCCTCAAATTTGCAATGACCTTCTTGCCTCTGCCTACCAAGTCCCAATGGATTACAGGTGTGTGTCACCACACCCAACTAACCTTGTGGTTTTTTTTCCCTTTTCTTTGAAAAAAAATTTTTTTTGGTGCCTGTGGTGGTTTGAAAGAAAATGGCCCCCAACTGGAGTGGCACTATTAGAAGGTGTGGCCTCATTGGAGGAAGTGTGTCACTGTGGGGGTGGGTTTTGAAGTCTCTTTTGTTCAAGCTACCCTCAGTGTGACTGTCAGTCAACTTCCTGTTGCTTGCAAGATGTAGGACTCTTAGCTATTCCTCCAGCACCGTGTCTGCCTGCATGCTGCTATGTTCCATATTCATGTTAATAATGAATTAAACCTCTGAAACTGCCCCAATTAAATGTTTTCCTTAAAAGAGTTGCCATGGAGCCGGGCGGTGGTGGCGCACGCCTTTAATCCCAGCACTCGGGAGGCAGAGCCAGGTGGATCTCTGTGAGTTCGAGGCCAGCCTGGGCTACCAAGTGAGTTCCAGGAAAGGCGCAAAGCTACACAGAGAAACCCTGTGTCGAAAAACCAAAAAAAAAAAAAAAAAAAAAAAAAAGAGTTGCCATGGAAGCTGGCCTTAGTGGTGCATACCTTTCATCCCAGCACTCAGGAGGCAGAGGCAGGCGAATCTCTGTGAGTTTGAGGCCAGCCTGGTCTACAGAGTGAGTTCCAAGACAGCCAGGGCTACATAGAGAAATGCTGTCTCAAAAAACTTAAAAAAAAAAAAAAAAGAAAAGAAAAGAAAGAAAAGAAAACAAAAAGAAAAAAAAGAAAGAGTTGCTGTGGTTATGGTGTCTCTTCACAGCAACAGAAACTGGAACTGAGACAGGTGTGTGTGTGTGTGTGTGTGTGTGTGTGTGTGTGTGTCGGGGTGGGGTGGGGTGGGGTGGGTGGGAGGTGGGGGGATGTCAGAGGACAACTTGCAGGAGTAAACTGTAGTGGGTAGCCATTCCAGCTTTGATCTGGAAGTTCCAACCCCCATTGAGACTTCGGCAACTGTCACGCCAACAAGGCGGAGCCGAGAGAGGACCCTGAAGACCCGAGATCCGGATGTGCCGCGCTCTCTTGGTTCCTGGACCCTGGACGCTGGAGGTAGACCGAGCAGAGTTCTCTAGAGAACACCACCGGACTGCGCTACGCCTTTCCCAGGCTCTGTAAACTATCCATTCACTTGTAAGTTACCCCACAAAATAAACCTCCCTTTTAACTCCGTGGAGTGGCCTTAATAATTTCACCAATAGTAAGCTCTCTTCTTCCATCATGTGGGTTCTGGGGATTGAACTCAGATGATCAGGCTTGGTGGCACCTTTACCCTCTGAGCCATCTCTTTCTTTCTTTTTCAAAAGATTCATTCATTCATTCATTCATTCATTCTGTATATAGCATATGTGACTGCAGGCCAGAAGAGGGGACCAGATCTCATTACAGATGGTTGTGAGCCACCATGTGGTTGCTGGGAATTGAACTCAGGACCTCTGGAAGAACAAGCAGTCAGTGCTCTTAACCTCTGAGCCATCTCTCCAGCCCCCTCCGAGCCATTTCTGAAGCCCCCTTGCATTGTTTTGAGTGACCAAGATTGCGGTGATTTTTTTTTTGCAACATCCGCAGGAAATGGATCCAGTGGGGGAGATCCGAAGTGGGAGCTCTGTGCTGAACATATTGACCTTGAGATGTGAGACTTGCAGAGTTGGAGTCTGGGCTCTGGGGGTGGGGGGTGGGGTGGGCAGCTGGGCTCTCAGCCAGGGACCCAGGGACCACCGGCATATTCATGGGCTTGTAAGGGTCAAGGCAGAGCATGACCCAGAGTACTTCCCAGTCCTGACCGCCTGGTGGTGATACAATACCGGCATGTCCAAGGCTGGCAGAACTGACTGCTGTATGGCAGCCTGCAGCCTCCACACTGAGACTCTTCAGGCACACTGGTGGCAGAGCCCTGGCAGAGGACAGACAAGGATCAATTTAGGGGCTGGCCAAGGTCATTCAGCTAAAGAGGCTGAGAAAGAGAGGCTGGAAAGGTGTGAGGACTTGGAAGGAAGACAGCCTAGCTCCTTCAGGTATTAAGCATCAAGCCCCGTGTACCCTGAGGGGGTCAGCCCAAGAGGCAACAGTGTGAAGGTGGACCTCTGCTTGAGGCTCTCTTTGGACCCTGTGAGATCATGTGGCCAGCTGATTCAGAGAATGGACTTTGGGATGTCTCTGCCAGCCCCTCCCTGCCCTTTCTTCCCTCCATCCCACAGCTTCCCAGGGGACTGGGTCACTTGGACCTTGCTACTTCCTGCTCTTCAGTCCATGGTTCAGACTATGGAGCTGTGGGTGCAGCTGAAGCAGGCCGGGCTGGAGCCCCTTGGATTGGGCCCACTCCCCCAGGCCCTAAGAATGCCCCCGCCAGAGGGGAACCCAGGCCAGACCCTTATGTCCTCAGGGACAGAACTTGGGGGCGCCAGAGAGCCGCTGTTGTGGATCTGGGAGGAGCTGGTGAGTGACAGGGCGCCAGAAAGATATGAGATAGATATGGTGGGGGAAGAATATGAGTGAATATTAATAAAAATAGACATGGCTAAGGATCAGCCAGGCCTGGTAGCTCATGCCTGTAATACAGCACTCAGGAGCCCGAGGCAGGAGAATTTCAAGCTTAAGCTACAGACTGAGATCATGTGTGGAAATCAAATACAACAAAGGCAGAGACAGGTAGTGGTGGGGACAGAGCATGAGAGTCAGGAATGGCAACAGTTCCAGAGAGAAGCACAGGTAGACATCAGAGACAGCTTAGGGACAGACAGGACCTCAGATGGAATAGGGGCTAGGAGCAACCAAGGGGAGGGGTGAGGAAATGGAGCTGGAGATGTGGAGACAGAGGTTCAAATAAGGGTCCACAGAGATGAAGGGACAGTGCGGCAGGCAGAGAAACAGAGATCAAGAGGCACAGGAAGCAGATGGCATGAAAACCCCTGGAATCGGTGAGATTTCTGGCCCTGCAGGCTAAGACTTGAGCTGGCACCTGCTCCTGGGAAACTCCTGGCAGGTTTCCTCGCTCTGTGTGGCATACCAATGATGTTCCTTTATTCCTGTAGGGGAACCTGCGCCGAGTGGATGTCCAGCTGTTGGGACAGCTGTGTCACCTGGGACTGGAGATGGGTGCCCTGCGGGAGGAGCTGGTCACCATCCTGGAAGAGGAGGAGGAAGAAGAGAAGGAGGAGGAAGAGGGAAGCTGTGTTGAAGAAGAGGAAGAAGGGCCTCAGGGGAGGCAGGAGGAAGGACATCCTGGGGCCTCCTTTCCAGCCCAGCACCTCCCTCACTTTGAGATGACCATCTGAGGTCATATAGTTTGACACACAAATGAGATACAAATTCATGCAAAGGCAAGAGGAGATTCAGAGGGTCCAATCAGATTGAGAATCAGTGGTACTCCTTCAGCAGACTGTTCTCCCCAGAGGAGTGCTGTGGGAGGTCCTGGTAGTGGCTCTGGGAGATGTGGGCAGGTTTGACTGTAGGTTTGGGAGGGGCACAGAAGACGTAGATCTATCTGCAGAAATGTTTCCAGTTTGGCCCAGTGCTTGGCCAAAGTGATAGAGATGTTGACAGACAGGATCGAAGACCAATTCAGCCTAGTGTGGGTGTCATTGCTATTAAGCAATTGAGACATGGCAAGTTCAGACGGAGATGTGGGATATGGCAAAGGTCAACAACCTGTGTGGTAAAACCTCTCAATAGTTAAAAAAAACTGATGACATGTTGAAATGATATTTTGTGTATGTGCGGTAAAACATTAATTTCGTATACTTTTATTGTGGTTTATATATATATATATATAAAACATAAAACTATTTAGCCACTTTTCATGTGTGGTATGAGGCATATGTGCACATATATGTGTGTGTGTGTGTGTGTGTGTGTGTGTCTTCCTCTATGGGTCTCTCACTGAACCACGCTATTGTGGCTAGGCTGGCCCTTGAGCTCCCAGGACCTGCCTGGCTCCCCCCTGCCCCCAGTGTGGAGCCTGGCCTTTTCTCTTGGGTGACGGGAGTTTGAATTCAGGCCTTTATGTTTGCACAGCCAGTGCTCTTACTCACCAAGCCATCCCATAAACTCCTTCCTTTGTTCTTTTCTATTTTTTAGTCCTGTAGACCAAGCCGGCCTGGAACTCACAGAGATTCTCCTGCCTCTGCCTCCTGAGCACTGGGGTTAAAGCTGTTGTCTTTATTTTGTATACATGTGTGTGTGAGTATGGCTTTGTACATGCCATAGCATGTGTGGGTGTGAAAGGACAACCTCAGGCACTGATCCTTGCTTTCTACCCTGAGATAGGGACTCTCTCGTTTATACCATGTTACCTGGCCTGAGAGCTTCTGCCGTTTCTCCTATCTCCACCTCCCATCTCTTCATGGAGGCACTGGGGTTACGGATACTCACTAAGGCATGCAGCTTTACACTGGTTCTGAGGATTCAAACTAGGTTCTTATACTTGCAAGCATGTCATCCACCTAGTCATTCCCTCAGTTCTTCCTTCTTTTTAATTATTATTATTATTATTATTTAAAGATTTGTTTATTTATTATGTATACAGTGTTCTGCCTGCATGTATGCCTGCAGGCCAGAAGAGGGCACTAGATTTCATTACATATGGTGGTTGTGAGCCACCATGTGGTTGCTGGGAATTGAACTCAGGACCTCTGGAAGAGCAGTCAGTGTTCTTAACCTCTGAGCCATCTCTCCAACCCCTAATTATATTTTTTTGAGACAGGATTTCTTTACAGACCCCAGTATGGACTGGAATTCTCAGTTTGATTCCCTCAGTCATCTGAGTGCTGGTGTGACACGTGAGTGCTGGGGTGACAGACGTGAGTGCTGGGGTGACAGACATGAGTTCTGGGGTGACATGTCAGTGCTGGGGTGACACGTGAGTGCTGGGGTGACAGACGTGAGTTCTGGGGTGACATGTCAGTGCTGGGGTGACAGACGTGAGTGCTGGGGTGACATGTGAGTGCTGGGGTGACAGACGTGAGTGCTGGGGTGACATGTGAGTGCTGGGGTGACAGACGTGAGTGCTGGGGTGGCACGTGAGTGCTGGTGTGACAGACGTGAGTGCTGGGGTGACAGACGTGAGTGCTGGGGTGACATGTGAGTGCTGGGGTGACAGATGTGAGTGCTGGGGTGACATGTGAGTGCTGGGGTGACAGACGTGAGTGCTGAGGTGACAGATGTGAGTGCTGGGGTGACACGTGAGTGCTGGGGTGACATGTGAGTGCTGGGGTGACATGTGAGTGCTGGGGTGACAGATGTGAGTGCTGGGGTGACAGACGTGAGTGCTGGGGTGACACGTGAGTGCTGGGGTGACAGATGTGAGTGCTGGGGTGATAGATGTGTTACATACCTTGTCGTCTGAATTTTTTTTTTTTTTTTTTTGGTTTTTCGAGACAGGGTTTCTCTGTGTAGCCCTGACTGTCCTGGATCTCGCTTTGTAGACCAGGTTGGCCTCGAACTCACAGAGATTTGCCTGCCTCTGCCTCCCGAGTGCTGGGATTAAAGGCGTGCGCCACCACTGCCTGCTTGCCTCCTGCCTTGCCTTCTGAAAGCGGAATGTTCTATTGCATGTATTTATCATGTTTTCTCTATTGTCCTTTCTTTCTTATCACACTTTCTTATAATGTCCACTTTTAGTGGGACATTAGCTTACCTTGACATTTCTTTTGTTTGATTTTTTTAAATTTTGTTTTTGAGACAGGGTCTTATGTAGCTCAGGCTGCCCTCCAATATGCTAGACAGCTGAGGGTGGCCTTGAACCCCTGATCTTCCTGCCTCCACTTCTCCAGTGCTGAGGTTATAGGTGTGCACCACCATGCCTGACCCTCCATAACTTTTTTTTGTTTTGTTTTTCGAGACAGGGTTTCTCTGTGTAGTTTTGGTGCCTGTCCTGGATCTCACTCTGTAGACCAGGCTGACCTCGAACTCACAGAGATCCGCCTGGCTCTGCCTTCCCGAGTGCTGGGATTAAAGGCGTGCGCCACCACCGCCTGGCTCCTCCATAACTTTTAAAACTTAGGATTTAGAGGAAGGGGTGCCAGGGGTAGAACCCAGGGCTTTGTGCATGATGGGTAAACACTCCTGAGCTATGTCTCCCGCCCCACTTAATACTGTCAACATTTTAAAATATGGCTGCTAGAACACTTAAAATTAGAGTGTAGTATTTATTTTTTATTTTTTAAAATTTATTTTTATTTCAATGTGCATGGGTATTTTGCCTGTAAGCAAGTGCACCGGAAGATGGTGTCAGATTTTCTGGAACTGGAGTTATAGATGGTTGTGAGCCGTCATATGGATACTAGAAATGGAACCCAGGTCCTCAGAAGAGCAGCAAGTGCTCTTAACCTCTGAGCCATCTCTCCAGCTTCCACAATGTATTGTTTCAAGTGTTTGAAAATACAAAGTTGATGGGAGCAGTTATGTTGCAAATGTGCCATAGCGCCACCTGCAGGAGACATGTAACACGTACAGATGGCAGCCTGAGAGAACTCTTAATTCCGTCAAACCGAAGACCTCATTTATGCTAGGTAGGTGCTCTACCACTGAGCTATGCCACCAGCCCCTCACTGGAGGATTCTAGGCAGGTGCTCTACCACTGAGCCACCCCCACCCCCTCACTGGAGGAGTCTAGGCAGGGGCTCTAGCACTTAACCATACCCCCAGCTCCTGGATGGCTGAAGCAGAGGCAGAGTGCTCTCTTTTGTGGGGACTGATGGGGAGTGGGTCAGATGCTCACAGTTCCTGGAGGAAATGTGACTCTTCATGCTGTGACGGGAGATGGCCAACAGAAATGAACTGAGCAAGTGATCTTCAGTGATGTGTGAAAACGTCAATGAACAGGGGACTCTTCCAGATCCACCCTGTGTGGACAGCTCTTTCCATTGCCTTAAGACTTCTAAACTGTAATTTGTGGCATGAGGGTCTGAACGGGCTATGGCATGGTGAACCTGGAAAACATTAAACAAGAAACAAAATGTGTGTGTGTGCGTGCAGAATTTAATTTTTATGAGGTATCCAGGACAGGCCAATTTATAGAGAAAAGGAGACTGGAGATTAGTGGAGGCTGCAGGGACAAGAGCTATTGCTTGGTGATAATAGCTTTAGAGCAGCTGGTGTCTCTGAAAGAGAGTGTCCGTCCACTCCAAACAAAAAACGCCACACCACTCCAAAACCCTCCCTACTACTTCCTGTGTCTCTCTGTCTCTCCCGGATGCTCTTGCTGCTCTACGATCACTTTCTGTCAACTAGTTGCTAACTCAGCCTCCTGACCCAAGGTTAATTTTATTTAATTAATGCAAATGCAAACTCGGGGTTCACAGTGTGATCAAATATCCCTAGACTTACCGGGATGGAGTCATGGGGATCTGGGAGCCACGATGAGGGGAATGGCTGGTTCTGCAGCGTGGGTGCCCAGGAATCAGGCCAGCATTCACAGCGTTTGTCCCTGCTGCAGCCCAGATACCAGCTGCAGTTCTCCCGGTGAACACCAGAGGGAGATATTGCAACACACAATCAATACTCCTTAAGCCTTCCTCCCATGAAGGCTTAAATTACTTTGTGGTCTGGTTTCCATCCTTGTCCCAGCAGATCTGGAGCTCCCTCCCAGGAGCCCGCTCTGACTTCCTGGCTCCTTCTCATGTCTTTGAGAAACCCACTCTGCTCTGGGACCCCTCCTGTCATAACCCACGAAGATGATGAGGTGACCACAGGGGAAACACCGAGAAAGAGAACCACCATTCATGGGGAGACCCCAGCAGCACTCAGCCAACACAGGAAGCTGTGAAGGCTCTCTGAAATCCTCTGTAGGATGATGACACGTGGTCACCTGTACACCCAGGACATGAGACTCCTGACACAACTGCTCCTAGGTTTTTTGTTTTTTGTTTTTTTTTGATCAAACCCCTCACTGAAGGCACAAGGGGTAATGGATTGATTATCTTCCTCACTCATCACTCAGCTGGTCCCTTCCCAGCACCAGAGATATCCCTGTCACCTGCCTCTGCTGGGAGTTAATCTGATCTTCTGAGAACAGTTGAGAAGACTGGGTACTGAGCTGTGTCACACACACACACACACACACACACACACACACACACACACACACAAACGTCTAGGGAGCCCAGAGACTCCCATCTTTAGTGCTGACAGACCAAGGCCAGGACACAGCAGAGAGCAGCCCTGGGGTGAGTTGCTATTCTCTTGGGGCACAGGACACTTCTCAGCCTTGCTGCTCAAAGTATGTTCTAGAACACTGAACCAGAAAGAGAGAAAGGGGGAGGAGAATGGGAACAGCATTGAGACGGGAACAGAGCACAAGCCATGTTACTCTGGGAGGTGCTCCTGGAAGGAGGAAGGATGAGAATGAAGAAGGACAGCAGAGCTGACACCAGCGCAGTGTGGGGGTGGGGAGGGGAGGGGTAGCTTGGAAGCCAAAGCTCTTCTTCACAGAGGGAGAACTGAGCAGACCCTTCACTTGCCTACAGAGCTCATTCCCTGGGAACGGATGAAGGAGGGGAGCTCATATTGGCTGAGGTCTACTGGGCAGCAGGAGAGACTCCCAACTAGGGGCCTTTGCTGTTGGTTGCTTTTGCTCTTTTGGGGAGCCCGCCACCCAGCTCCCAAACAAATCACACAAGGAGCCTTATTATTAATTATAAATGCCTGGCCTTAGCTTGGCTTGTTTCTTGCCAGTTTTTCTTAAATTATCCCCATCTACCTTTTGCCTCTGGACTTTTTCCTTTTATTACTTCTGTAAATCTTACTTTCACTCTTACTCCGTGGCTGGCTGGGTGGTTGGGTGGCTGGGTGGCTAGCCTGTAGCATCCTCCTCTCCTTGTTCTCTTGCTCTTTCTTCTTTTCCTCCCAGATTTCTCCTTTCATTTATTCTCTCTGCCTGCCAGCTCCACCTATCCTTTCTCCTGCCTTGCTATTGGCCATTCAGTTTTTTATTAGACCATCAGGTGTTTTAGACAGGCAAAGTAACACAGCTTCACAGAGTTAAACAAATGCAACATAAAAGAATGCAATGCATCATTGTATCATTAAACAAATTTCCACAGCATAAGCAAATGTAACACACCTTAAAATAATATTCTGCTTGGAGGATGCAGAGAGCGGGAGAGGCTCAGCAGGGGGAAGATATCACTGAAGGGAATTGTAAGGGAGTATGGAGAAAGGCTCCACTGTTCCCTGCCTCGCTGGCCTTCCTATTCAAAAGACTGATGCTGCCGGGCGGTGGTGGCGCATGCCTTTAATCCCAGCACTCAGGAGGCAGAGCCAGGCGGATCTCTGTGAGTTCGAGCCCAGCCTGGGCTACAGAATGAGATCCAGGAAAGGCGCAAAGCTACACAGAGAAACCCTGTCTCGAAAAACCAAAAAAAAAAAAAAAAAAAAAAAAAAGACTGATGCTCACACTATGTCAGGGTGACTCCCCAAATAAAGGGCATTGAACATTGTCCTTAGCTCCCAACCTGACATTTCATAAATAAGCCCCTAGACCTGTAAGGAAGTGGGTGCTCACTCACTCATTTACCCACAGGTGTCTGAGCCTGGTCCAGACTAGTCCTCTCCTCACAAAACCAGAGTTCCAGGAGACAGGAGGACAGCACAGGAAGGACATCTAGAGGGGGAGGTCAGAAGTTGAGAAAAGCCATGGCGGGAACAGCAGGGAAAGGTCAAAAGTGAAGACCCAGGGTCTAGATGAGAGGGTCAGGGAAGGCAGCCCCTAATCTCACACACACCACAGACAACTGAAGGTGAGCAGGGATCTAAGGGTGGTGAGGGGTGGGCTGTGCTGATGCCCAAGAAGAGATCCAGACAGAGGGAAGGAAAATTCGGGGGTGCTGATGGAATGGAGGTGATGCTGCTGATCTCCATGAACATGCGCGCGCGCGCGCACACACACACACACACACACACACACACACACACACACCAGGCTGCAAGATGAACATACCTGCCTAGGACATCATGGTCCATCTTTCCACCAAATAGTGATTTACAATATTGACAGATCTCTCTTTCACCCCACCCCGCAGACTCCTCTTTTACCTGCTGGAACCTTCTCACCACTGCCCAACTCCGTGCCATCCCATGTTGTCGAAGGAATGAATGTTCTTTCAGTTGTCCACATCTAATATAATTTTCCTGCCCTCCCTTTTTTCAGTTAAAGGGAAAAGAGCTGACAGGCATTGGATTTTGAGGAAGTTCCATGAGCTGCTGAGAAGGAATGTGTGTCCCTCAGTGTATGAGTAGAAAATTTTGTAGTTGTTTGTTAAGCTCATTGGTTTATGGTGTCATTTTATTCCAGAGTTTCTCTAGCTTGTACCTGGATGACCTGCCTGTTGGTGACAGTGGGGTGTGGAAGTCACCCACTATCACTGTGTTGGGGTGATCTGTGGCTTTAGAGTGAATAGTATGTCTTTTGTGAAAGCCAGTGCTCCTGTGTTTGGTGTGTATGGAACTGTAATGTCCTCTTGGTGGGTTTTTTCTTTAATGGGTATAAAGTGTCCTCTATCTCTCCAACTCCATCTGAAGTCTGTTCTTGCATGTTCCATTCTCTCATTATTTTAGATTTAACATTTTCTTTGGCCAAGTGATCCATTTCCTGTATCTTGTCTTCAAGACCTGATATTCTCTCTTCCATTTGATTCATTTTTTTTTGTTGATACTTTCCTCTGAGCTCTTTGACTTCCTAAGTTTTTCATTTCAAGTTTTATTTAACTTGGATTTTTTCAGAGATTCTCTTTATTAAATTCTATTTTCAGGCTGGGCGGTGGTGGCGCACGCCTTTAATCCCAGCACTCGGGAGGCAGAGCCAGGCGGATCTCTGTGAGTTCGAGGCCAGCCTGGACTACCAAGTGAGTTCCAGGAAAAGGCGCAAAGCTACACAGAGAAACCCTGCCTCGAAAAACCAAAAAAAAAAAAAAAAAAAAAAAAAAAAAAAAAAAAAAAAAAAAGCCAATTATGAAGACCTATAACATGTAATTGGAGTGAAATTATAATTGAAAATCTCCCCACAGAGAAGCCCAAATCTGGAGCTCTATCAGACATGGAAAGAAAATCTAAGGCCCAAAGGCAATGGTTAGCGGTTAAGAGATAGGTCATGCAGCTCTGGCAGAGGACTCAAGTTCAGTTTCCATACCATGCTGGTCAGCTCACAGCCAACTGTAATTAATTGGAGCAGAGCACATCTGATGCCCTCTTCTGACCTCTGTACACACCTCTGCTCATGTACACATGGTACACACACACACACACACACACACACACACACACACACACACACACACACTCACACTCACACACACTACACACTCATAATGAAAAGATGTTTAAAATAAAACAAAAGCATAAAAGAGAAAACCTGACAGCAATGTTCCTCAAACTATTCCATCAAACAGGTATGGTGATGGTTCATCTTCAGAACCATCTTGCCTGGATTTACAGCCACCAGGAAGAAATATGGGAGATGCACCCTGCATGTACACAGCTCCATCTCAAGGGCCAGGGCGAGAGGAGAGAGCGTCGGCAGTGCCATCCATCTCTCTGCTTCCCACTGCAGCCATGCCAGCCCCAAGTGATGACTGTGCCCCTCAGCCATGCATCCAAAGTGAGCCATTCTTTCCATTGCTCTTGTCAGGAATTTGTTCAGAGCAATAAAAGCATAACTAATACAGGAAGAAACCTGCCAAATACATCCTGATAAACATTTGTTACCCAGTCTGACAGTGGGACACACAAATACAGGAAGCTACAGAACACTTTTCTTGATAAAGACAGATGGAAAATTATCATTATAGATTTTTAAACCTAACTGAGCAATGCATTCAAAGATCACATACTATGAGCTGTTACACAAATCCTAATTGGTCTTAATAAAAACCCAGTACCAGATGTCAGAGTGAAAGCTGAAAGATCAGAGAAGCAGAGCAAGCCATCGCTACCACCTCTTACTTCACCAACTCCTCAGCCTGAAAGAGCCCGAGTTCCTGTCTCTTCCCATCTTATATTTCTTTCTCTGACCAGCCATATCACTTCCTGTCTCAGCCTTCTTAGTGCTGGGATTAAAGGTATGTGATCCCAAGTGCTGGAATCAAAGGTGTGTGCCACCACTGCCCAATTTGCTCTGATCTTCAGGCATATTTTATTTGTTCAAAATATCAGCACATTACCCCCTTTTTGCCTAAAATAATAAAAGAAGGTTATAACTAATATAAGAAAAACTATATACAACATACAATATCTACAGTCAAGATTTACATTAACAGTGTCCCGTCCATAAACATGTGACAAATTCAAAGAAAATATTCCATTATCTATCCTATTTTGGTGAGTCCAAAATGTACCTAATTCGCTTTCTATCCTAACTTGTATTACTAACCCCAAACTATCTTTTGATATCTTCCAAACTCACACACTTTACACCTTTTTAGTGAGTTTCTTTCCTGAA